TGGGGTTTAACGTCGCGTCCAAGATTATTGCACTTATATAGCGACGTGCATGTACGTGTGTGTGTTTGTGTGGCTGCTTGTACTAGTCCGGACTGATGTCGATTTATAGTGCTAGCTCACTGAGATACCATGCCGCAGTTTAACATGAATACCCCACTCAGACACAGTATACTGACTCCGAGCCGACCAGTCCTTGTTTTAGCCCCTTAATGCCGAGCGCCAGACAGGGTAACAACAAGTACCATCTTTTAACGTCTTTTGGTATGACGCGGCCTGGGATCAAACTCCGGGCGGACGCTCTACTACTAGACCACGGAGGCGGTCCTGACGACGATGTAGCGCTGTTAATAACTATACTCTGGGTCTGTAGGAACCAATTCCTTGAGCCTTCAGTCCCCCGGCCATTGTTTATCGACTAACTTATATGCGCTAAGGCATTCGTCGCTAGTGACGCCACTGTCAGTAATCGATTCTGGAGATGCAAAGTACGCAAGTGCCGGTCCTCATTGGGCGTAGTTACCCTGGGTCTGCCTGTTCTTGTCCTGTCTGATTTCGGCCCTGGTTTCAGTCGTGGCATTTCTGTACCTTTTTTCTTAATCAATGTGAGTGTCTAACATGCCATCCATATAATTCATATACCCTTATTGCACGTGTAATTTCGGCTGCTAAAGCGGCACGTGTTTTTAACTTTTTCGCATTTTCTAACAACAACAAAAAAACATACCGTGGACGCGTATCACTTTCTGCATAGAGCATTGTTCCGTTTGGACGATGTGTTTTGCATTTAGTCTGAACTTGTGTTTTCAAATTTTTGCAAATTCATTTTTAAAGTGGTAAAGTTGCTTTTGGCCGTCGGTTTATATTATGAAAAACTAAATCTGGTAATAATTAAGTTCATAATAGTCGGACTTACTTGCTATTAATTGTAGGAATACAAAGTCGTAAAATTCAACCTTTTTTCGAACGTAGAACTTCTAATGAAACACGATACATTAAAATATAGTTTGAACTGAAAGTTAAGAAACAAAAATGTGCCTACAACCTGATTGACAAGAAAGAGCTGATTGTACCATAGAGATAGGATTAACGCATACACGCACAAGCGTTAAAATTGCTGATGGGACAATATTCACTCACTCACTTACTCGAGTATTCAGGTTACGTATTGTTAGACTATTGTTTCAGTTTGAATGCGACATACGTGCGTAAACACAGAATAATTCCATATCCAACACGATAATCACTACAACAGGGTTAATTACATAATCTGCTTGAATACCCTAATCTTCAACAGCCTATTTACTTTGGGGACTTTGATCCGATATGGGATAATGCCGGATTTAATTTTAAGGCTATATTGTAGCGTGCATGTCACAATTACTGACGGATTATATCATTTGTCATTAAAAACGAACATTTACCGAAATTAATAAAAAAAACACAATGGGGGTGTTTTAAATTTTTAGAGTCAACTTTTTAAGCAAGTTAAAAGTGCATCGCAATTAATCAAGGGTCGTTTATGTTGTTCTTTGTTAAGAGCTAAGCAATTGGTGATTACTGATTACCCTTGAAGATCCAGACTAATGAATTGGCCTTCAGCACTCATGCTTGTTGTAAGAGGCGACTTTGCTTGTCGTAAGAGGCTGCTAACGGTATCAGGTGGTCAGGCTCGCTGACTTTGTTGATGCATGTCATCGTGTCCCAATTGCGTAGATCGATGCTCATGATGTCAATCACTGGATTGTCTGGCCTAGACTCGATTATTTACAGACCGCCGTCATATAGCTGGAATATTGCAGAGTGCAGTGTTAAACAACAAACAAACAGATGGCGGTAGATAGACCACCTAATTTACATGTTCAAGATTTAGAAGTGTCCCTATGCAAAGGCAGTGTACATGGCTTTGCGTCCCTTGGCAATGCCAGGATCCGCTAGTCGTGGATTCGAATATTAGAATCGCCCCGCTTGTGGTTCTTTGTCTGCCAGCACCGTATTAAACTCGCAGCCGTTTGACCGTTATGTTAATAACCGAACCGAAAACTTTCCACACAACTAAATTATTTGGTTTGTCAATTTGAATTGAAGGAGGAAGTTTGGTGTTTTTTCTGTTAGTCTGCAGTCTGGAAACCAATCTGATTTAACAACAAACGTAAATTCATCTGGGAGGTTAACCTCCTTTATCACAATGCTGTGATATGTATCCTGGCTTTAAAATTCTTAGCGAGGTTGAAAAATTGTCTTTTGTTTTATCAAATAATGTTATGTGTAATCTTATTGCCAATATCTGCCATGCTATTTAACAAAAACCGTTAATCGGTTATTTATAACAAAGTGTGATATTTCTTTACTATGTTTATACATGTTTGCTGTACATAATTTTAAACGTTTTAGTCTCTGATAAGTCTGTATTGAGTGGCCTAAGTAATACTTTTACGTTGTTTTATTTATGTTTGTAAATTTTATACTGTATTACTTGGGTGAGACTCAAATAAACAATTGTCTTCTGGCTGTCTGTCTGTCTGCAGTCTCGAACGAATCTGATTTAACAAACAAACGTAAATTCATCTGGGAGGTTAGTCTGCAGTCTCGATTTTACCAAAATAAACAAAAATTCGTAGAGCCAGAGACCTTTTCCCCCAAAGACATTCATAAAACTATTAAAGTGATTACATTTGGGTTTAGACCCGTGAAGATCCGGGGTAGAATAGGTCTTCAGCAACCCATGCTTGCCGTAAAAGGCGACTATGCTTGTCGTAAAAGGCGACTAACGGGATCGGGTGGTCAGGCTCGCTGACTTGGTTGATGCATGTCATCGATCCCAATTGCGCGGATCGATGCTCATGATATTAATTACTGGATTGTCTGGTCCAGACTCGATTATTTACAGACCTCCGTCATATAGCTGGATTATTGCTGAGTGCGGCGTAAAACAACAAACCAACCAACAACCAACATTTAGGTTTGAGGGAGTCTATTATAGGCATGAAAGTGTAATACATATTTGAGTTTTGATTTGAGTTTTTGATTTGAATTTGATATTTGATATATATATATATATATCAATGTGTAATTTTCTTACTGGTTTCAACTCCTTTTCGTGACCTTTTTATACAATCACGTAGGTGTCTTAATGAATTGTTAATTACTTTACTTTACCACACTCTGAGATGGTACCAATTCTTGTTATAATATCTGGTATACATTCCCTCTTATTTCTATGACTTATTGATTTAACTTCCCTTTAATTATCTAAATATGTATTACACTTTCATGCCTATAATAAGTCTTCTAATGTCCCCTTCTGCACTGGCGAAAGCGATGATATCGGTCACGAAGATGCCACGCCCTTGGAGGAAAATTGGGATGTTGGAAACTAATAGGACACAACTCTCCACAGGGTGAACCACTTGTTTCCTGGGTTAGTTCGAATGCATACACGTTGACAGATGTGATGCTGATGCTGACGACGATGGGACACCCATTTTGCATGTATGGTTTTAAACCGCTTTTAGCGATATTCCAGCAACATGACAGCGGGGGATACCGGATTGGGGCTCCACACGTTGTACCAATGGTAGGAATCGAACCAGTGTCTTCGGTGTGACGAGCGAACCCTTTAACCACTGCATTTGGAACATAGGTATTTTGTCAAAAAAATGAATGACGTCAGAGCCATGTCGTGTAAACGCTGAAGAGTCATATGTCACAGGAGTCCACTGTGATATCGTCCACGACTATTTCTTGAGAGTTCTTCAGAGTTGCGTCACTTAGCCATCATATGATCTGCTTGTTGGTAGTTCAAGTGAGCGCCTTAAACTTTAAAGAGTATTTCAAATATATAATGATCTGCCAGCTTGTGGGGGCACAGTTGTTGGTTCGAATCCCTGTTCGCCCGATTATGAACCTTGGTTTGTCAGCACCATATTCGTGCTCGCGGGTTTTTGTCTACGAGTGAGTGAGTGAGTATGGTTTTACGCCGCTTTTAGCAATATTACAGCAATATCACGGCGGGGGACACCAGAAATGGGCTTCACACATTGTACCCATGTCGGGAATCGAACCCGGGTCTTCGGCGTGACGAGCGAACGCTTTAACCACTAGGCTACCCGACCGCCCCTTTTGTCTACGACCGTAACGTCCTTTGATTTAACTGAATACCGTTCAAAGCCGCGTGTAACCCTATCACTCATTCTCCCACGTTCCACGCAGGTGCGGTTAATACTAACGAGGGGACACAGGAGACCCAGTCGTCTAAGACGCCGCAATTCCCTGTGCAGAGTTGCGTCCCTCGGGCACGCCAGAAACCTATGATTGTGGGTTCGAATCCCGGTTCGATTCTAATATGTTTCTAGGTTTGTCAGCACCATATCCGTGCTCGTGGGTTTCATCAAATTGGTAAACATCTGAGATCTGCATGACTTCGGGCTTTCGTCCCACATTAAGCTGATATAACTGGAATACTGTCGGCGTTAAAGGGGCGTTAATCCCAAATCACTCATGCACTCATTCACTCACTCACGTAATACTGACGTACGGGGGGCACGGGGGGCCCAGTCGTCAGAGGCGCCGCGATTCGCTGTGCAGAGTTGCGTCCCTTGGGCACGCCAGAAACCTATGATTGTGGGTTCGAATCCCGATTCACCCCGATTATGTTTCTAGGTTTGTCAGCACCATACCCGTGCTCGTGGGTTTCACCGAAGTGGTAAACGTCTGAGACCTGCATCACTTCGGGCTTTCCTCCCACATTAAGCTGACACGCCGTGATATAACTGGAATAATGTTTAAAGCGGCGTTAAACCCAACTCACTCACGTCATACTGACGTACGCTTGTCAGATCAGGCGTTTAAGAGTTTCTTCTGCTGTAAATGTGTCAAGGTCCAAGGTCCCCGTGTCAACCTGACAAAGCATCCCCGGGGACACGGGGAGTCAGGTAGCCTCTCGCTCGTCACGTAGTCCGCTTATCGGCAGAAATGCCAGATAATACCGTCTAAGCTAATCCAGGACACAGGATATTGGTCACAAATCATAATCTAGGGCCATTATGACACATTGCTAATGTGATTACTGAGAGTTGACCTGTTCCACTGGCCCCGAGTGGACGCGAGCATGTGGCCGGTGAAAATGGGAGTACTGACAGACGTAGCCTTGGTTACCAGATCTCTGCAATGACGCTCCGCATCACTGTGCTTCGTATGTCAACATCGCGATGTGAATGACAGGTTAGTGGTGTCGATTAGGCCATGAGTGATTATGTTATAAACCGTTACATTAGGTGTTTGACAGCTGTAAGAATATACTAGTTCTGTAGCAAGGTACTGTACAACTACAGCCAGTACTTATGTATCAAGGTTACACACAACCAAATATTTTCCCGGTAGACTTCTATAGTAACGTTATATTTTTTATAAAAATAATTAAGCATTCAACAGCTATTACTTGTACGTGTGTGCACAGTTTGGCCCTAGAACAGCAATAAAAACATAGCCAGCTCCTTTTCCGAGTACAGGAAGCTAAACACACCACCCCCAGTTTCGCACCAAATGTCACCTACTTGAAAATAGCTGTGGTCACATTCAGCATAAGTCATCATGTTGAAAAAGACAGTACTAAATATAGAAAAACATGGACAGTTTTAATACCTGGATGGATGTACAATCCAATCACAATGAGCAGATATCTCTCGATCTGCACTGAAGGCTCCCTACGAAAACCCGCACTGTCCCAACTGGTTCTGATTTGGTGTAGTAGAACCTCAAAACCAGACAAGGTAGGAGAAGGGACTAAGGGGCGGGCCATTTGATATTAAGAGGGGGTGGGGGTGGGGGTGGGGTAGGGGGGAGGGGAGGGGGCATGATAATAGCACTTTAATAAATATTTTTTATATAATAAAAGACCATACGTAAGATCCAGCGACGTAAGGAGGTGTTATTTGCCATTTATAGATAACGCTGCGGATTAGGGATCCTTAGGGGCTTATGATAAGAGGGGATACGCTGACTGTTTGCTGTGTACATTAAACAGAAAAAGGAGATAGAATTTCTGTGCACTTTGGAAACATATTGAAACAATTAGGTATTTTGGATAAATGAAATTTTAAAGAAACCTATTGAAGTGGGTTGCACTGTAACAATACCCCTGAACGTATGGAGCTTTTGTCCTCAAAAGCGTTTTATAAATAGCGACAATATTGAAATTACAAGTATAAATAATAATGCATTTCTCCAATCACAAAAATCAAATTTGCCTCAGATTGGAAACAGGTGACGCCAGACCAATTAGATTCCTTTTGTATAAGCAAAACGCAGCAATTAGGGACGAATGTTCCAGACAGGTGCCAACAAAAATGTTTGAAGCCAATATCATTCAGCCGAGTTCTTATTGGCACTCTCCCGTTGTCATGGTTAAAAAACGGTATAGCTCATATCGCTTTGCCGTACATTATAGACGCCTCAAAGTAACCAAACTTATATATTTCCCCCCTTTGTCTCGTATTGAAGATGTCGTTGATGCCATATATAGTCGACAGCCGTTCCAAAATTTTTAGTGTCCTTGATTGTGCTAGTGGCTTTTGGCAAATACCACACCATCCAGATACAAAACACAAGTCGGTCTTCATTGCCATGGTGTTTTTGAATGGAATCGCCTCCCTTTCGGCCTCCTAAATGCTCCTGTGGCATTTTAGCAAACCATTTCAGACACTAAAAGAAAGTAACTGACTTATTGATACATGTAGAAGACATCATACTATTTTCTAAAACCTTTTCAGAACATCTGAATCACCTCAAGGCAGTATTCCAAAAGATAAATGCTGGGCTCACTCTAAAACCAAGCAAATGTAAATTCGCGACAAAACAAGTCACCTGCATAAGGCTTATCATCAGTAAAGATGGCATCTATTTCGATCCTTTAAAAATAGATTCAGACACACAGACCCCACCCCCTAAAAATGTCAATGATATGCGTCATTTCTTAGGTTTGGTCTCGTATTACCGCAAATGTGTAGCAAACTTATCTGGCATCGCCTCCCCTTTATACTACCCTTTTTTTCTGAAAAAAGATGCGGCTTTCGAATGGTCCGACAATTTCCAACAGGCAATCGAAAAGCTAAAGCAAGCCCTTATAACAGCCGCTATCCTTGCTTATTCGGACAAAAACAAACCCATCCTCACAACTGATGCATCTGAAACTGCAACAGGGTACATTTTAGGCTAACTTGATTCTCATGGCGTAACTTGTAAGGATGATGTTAATTCATGTCTTTTGACCATACAAGTATCTTCCTGTACTGCTTTTAGAAACAAACAATGTTCATAGGTAACATTCCTTTTGCTGGTCAGTTAAGGTTGTTGCAATTAACTTCTTTTATTCATATATATGTTTATACTTTTTGTTTGTATTTTTGTTCCAAGTAAGGGTATATGATGCTGATAATTATTTCCTACACAAGTCTATATATATATATATATATATATATATATATATATATAGTCTATATATATATATATATATATATATATATATATATATATATATATATATATATATATATATAGTCTATATATATATGCATTTAGTGTTGTGATAAGTTAAGTCCCAAACATGCAATTGTTGAAATAAACAGTTTAGTTCACCTTCATATCATAAACACTAAATGCATGGGTAAATTTTAGAGGGTTTTTTAAGCTTTTATTTTCTAATATTTGAACATAAGCACGTCTTTGACCAAAGCTAAATTTCATGAAAACATTACAAACATATGGTGAAAACATCATTTTGGGTATCGGACTTAAATTTTCAGTGGAGTTCCCAAAATCACTCATTGTAGCCATATTTGTGTAATTGGCCATGCCAGAAGTCCAATCCTTTCAAGTGTAAGAAAGAAAAAAAGACTAGTTGTCAGTCATTTGAACCTGTCTGATAATTTTCAAATCCCAATTTTCAAGTTTTCCGCAAATTAATTTTTTGCAGCATGCAGCATCCCCTCTCCTCCTTTGTAGTTATTTTATGTTCGAATGGATTTATGTTGGGTTTTTTTAATGAAACGTCGCGTTGGTGGAAGCGCACATGTATTTGTATAAACTGTAGAAGCTGGTGGCATTAACGAAGTATCCAAGTACTGTCTCTTGCATTTTTTTCATGAATGAAAGAATACCAGATGACAACCCCACAGTTTACAACGCGTGTGTACGCGCAGTGTTTGTTTGTTGTTTAACGTCGCACTCAGCAATATTCCAGCTATATGACGGTGGTTTGTGAATAATAAAGTCTGGACCAGACAACCCAGTGATTAACATCATGAGCATCGATCCACGCAATTAAGATACGATGACACGCATCAACCAAGTCAGCGAACCTGACCACCCTATCCCGTTAGTCGCCTCTTACGACAAGCATGTCGTACGATACGACCTCCTGAACGCAACATGCCGCCGTTCGTTCTACCCTTCGGCGGTAAAGACACTGACTTCCATCAGCTGTGAACAGACAGAAACGGCTTTCATCAGTGAAGACAACACTTTGCCTGTCACGTGCCCTGCCAACGACGTACAGTCCGGTCCCATCTCAATCTCTAACGACGATGTAGCGCTGTCAATAACTGCCCTCTGTAAGGTCTGTAGGCCCTAATTCCCTGAGCCCCGAGTCTCCTGGCCACTGTCTGTCGACAAACCATATGCCCTAATGCTTTTTTGATGATGACGTCAATGCCAGGAATCGATTCTGGAGATGCAAGATGCAAGTACCGGTCTTCATTAGGTGTAGTTACGCTGGGTCTGCCTGTTCTTGGCCTGTCTGGTGTCTGTCCGGTCTGTCTGCAACGTTACATCAAGTTATGGCAACACGGGAACAACCAAACGTTCTTGCAAATGTGGTGCGGTCGGGTTGCCTAGTGCAAAGCTTACAAGGAATGGGTGTAGACGATATTACAGTGGACATTTGACACTTCAGCGTTTACACGACATGGCTCTGATGTCATTCATCTTTATGACAAAATACCGTTGTTCTAAATGCAGTGGTTAAAGCGTTCGCTCGTCACGCCGAAGACTGGGTTCGATTTCCAAACATGGGTACAATGCGTGAAGCCCATTTCTGGTTTTCCCCGCCAGATATTGCTGGGATATTGTTAAAAGCGGCGTAAAGCCATAATCACTCACTCTAGCAAATGTAGATATGGGTGGCTTCCATCTGTTTCATACCCAGGGCCTTCTCGCGTTGTTCGGGTGTCAGTGTGGGTGTCTGACATGCCGTCCGTATAATTCCCTTATTGCACATGTAGTTTCGGTTGTTCAAGCGGCACGTGTTTTTCAATTTTCGCATTTTCTACAACAACAACCAACAACAAAAAAAACACACACACACAAAAAAACGTGGATGTGTATCACTTTCTGCATAGAGCATTGTTGTGTTTGGAGGTTGTTGTTTTTTCGCAATTTCATTTTGAAAATGGTAAAGTTTCCTTTGGCCGTCAGTTTTTTTTTATCTGTGCATAAAGATTCAGAGTGACTAACAACCAGACTCATTACAAGAGGGATGACTTGTGCGGCGCCATCACGTATGGAGATGCTCTCCCGTCATCGTTTATGGATCCATCTTGGAGGCAAGCTTGGATGCAGTCATTGTTTGCGCAAGGGATGACAATTTTCCCTTTATGTCGAGCAATAGTCCAACTGGTCCAACCTTTGGTGTGTACATGTCACAACTTTTGAGGCACAATCGAAAATGCTATTTCCTACGTAGATTTAAAATAGCGTCACGACTAAGTTGTTTGTCAGGATTACATTCAAGGCTTTAGTAAAACATTCAAAACGTTTTATGGTTGACATGTGCTGAAAATCTTTCAATATGACGCATCAGTGAAAGTGATGTCTGATGCAATTCCGTATTTTGACTTGTACTATATACTCCCGTGTTTGTTAAGGTGAACATCTGACTTACCTTTGCATGTGTTTGTGACGGGTGCCACCGGGCAGGATACACCCACCTGTTCGCGAACATCTGGTATCTATCACTTTTTCCTTCGTGACCAACTCGTGTTATTCCGGGACAAGCCGAATAGCGACTCGTGCCCCTCTCGTGGCTATTTTTGCGACCGGGTTCCGTCTTAGCGCAAACGGGCATACCTAAACCAATTGTCAACTCGTTGCGTAATGGTTTACACATATTTCCCCGTATATTATATATATTTCAGATGGAATTTAAAGCACATCTGGGCATGCGGAATTATACAGTATGTCTGAACACATTTAACTGTGTCTTGGGTATATTTTTAGATACAAGACATATGTAAAATCAAATATGATTTCTGAGGGATTCTTTGACAAAGAAACTTGAAATCATACGCGCACTCTGACTGGTTTGTCGTATTTTCGCACATAACATTCATCGATAGGGGGACGAGTCTTCTTGCAGGTTACGGAAAGGGGCGAGTGGTGACGAACGATCACTGTTTGACAGTAATTCATAAACACAAGCTCATTACATAGACTGAATTGTACAGTAGATTCTGCATTTAGTAGAGATTTCTTATGAATATCGAAAAGGCTGTGTCGCTTTTATGAGTATAGTTATGGAAAGGGCTTTGTCGCTTTTTCTAGAAACATATATGTTTACAAATAAAGATAATTCAGAACTATTAAAATTAAGAATTGACCTTCACTTTGTGTGAGTTCATTGGAGTATGCACCTTCATAGAGTGAGTGCTAAACTGTATGAAAGTCGCAAGCTCCGACGTTCATACAGTTTGGCCCTCACCCTATGAATGTTCATACTCCAATGAACTCACACAAAGTGAAGGTCAATTCTTAAATGAACGTCAATTTCGCGGTCATGTGACCGACCTCTCGGAAAAGCCGTATATCGTGTAAACTTCAAATTAAAAAATTATTCAATGTTAAATTGAAGTTCATTATCTCGGTGTGTCAGAACAGAACGTGTTAACATTCAAGGCTGTTACAAATAGCATCTTGAGGTTATAAAAGAGTTAGGTTAAATACCTTGTTTTAAACTATATATTGTCGACGCCAGAGAATAATCAGTCCCGAATATCCACCGAAACAGATTCCACTGGGCGGAAAAGGCAAACTAGTGGTGAAACTTATATGAATGGATCAGTGAAAATCACTGACACCAGGTATTCGCGAAAAGGGTAAGCATGTCCTGTTCACAAAGTAATATCCCATTTTTGTCAGAACAATTACATGTCTGGATTCAAGTAACTGTAGCATTTCTACATTAAACAATTTTCCTATAGATGTTTTGAAATATATAACACTATTATTTTTGTAAATCAATAAAGTTTCTTTTTTTGCAACACATTTACAATATTTCAAACATAGTAGGGGTCATGTGGATGCAAATGTATTTCTTACCACAGTCTTCATTGAACCAGTCATCCACAGATTACTTTTTAAAAACAGTTGCAGGAATGAGTGATGGTTAAGTTGACAATCAAATTTAACAACAATTCTTTCAGTTTTCAATTACACAAAAACAATTTCTGTGTGCTTTCTTTTGCCCCTTCAGTTGATATGTTAGTCAGAAGCCGTGCCCAGAAGGTAATTAGCTTAGTCATTAACGTTATAACTGCCGGGCAAAAGAAATTAAACATTTGAAAATTGGATTTTACCAGAACATTAGAAATGTTATCAAAACGTTACCAGTTTTAAAACGTGCGACAGTCGACGTCGATCGTTCTTATGAGTTAATTAGATTTCATTGTAGATCTTATAACCATTTCAAACCATTTTAATTCCATTCTTACACAGGAAAGGTCATTGCATAACAACTATAATGTGTTAGCATAATACAAGGTTATTTTACCGCAAGACTGAACCTAGTTGGGCCCTTCAATACCCCTGTTACATACCCGCTCGAGTAGCAGGAATTACAGGCACGAGGGGATTGTAACGTGCACATAATACCAGTCAACGAAGCGTGCACATCCTTTGTAGCGTTCTGCCGTGTTCTCCGCAACCTGTGCAGGTGGAGGGGCAATTACTGTGAGCTACGACTTGCCACAGGATTAGCCTTCGCGTTAATATATGGCCAGATCAAGCCCTTTAGGAATTACGAAACTCATTCTAATTGCTGTATCTTGTACTGCTGACATATTGAACGTGGCGCCTCTGTCATATGTTCAACTCACGTTGGTTTAACTGAGGTAATTTAACAGCATTGTGTTATATGTCGTATTTATAGTGTCGTGTGTATGTGGTAAAACGGCTTCAGATATGACCAGATGGACATGACGATCGTATAAGAAGCACCAGTCTATGACATGGGTATTGCACTGACATATTTTGTTGTGCAAGCCAGTAGTTGTGTCCCTTGGGCATTCTGTTAACGTTTGGTGATTACACACGTTCTCAAGGACTGACAGTTTTTGGTATTTCCCGTGAGTAAACTGTTAATCAGGGCCCACTTGCACAAAGCGATCTTAGCGCTAAGATGATCCTTACTCCCATACTTTAACATAGGCTTACAACAGTCTTAGCGCTAAGATCGCTTTGTGCAAGTAGGCCCAGGTCTGCATGTCTCTGTGTGTACTTTCCCCCGCGAATGCACAATGTCTTCATTGTTTAGTTTGATGTAAAACTATTCTGGTTCTTACAGGAAGTCATGGAGGACGACACAGATAGCCAGCCGACACTGGAGTCGGTAGAAACATCTCCAACACCAGTAGCGTCTGACATTGGGTCAAGGTCGGAACATAGGAGTAAATCTACCCGTGGTCCAGATTCCACCTCTGAAATGTCATGGGGAGACGACCCTGACCTTGGTATGACAGAAGACGACCCTGACCTTGATCTGGCAGCAGACGACCCTGACTTTGGCGAGGCAGGGGACCCTACCCCCTCACTGACCAGTGCAAAGTCGAAAAGAACACCATCACAAAAAGGTCAAATTCAATATGGAATCATATGTTTCATTTCAGTGTGGTAGCGTCGAAATGTTATTAGATTGTTTTAATCTAAGTGGTGATGTTTTTGTATGGTATTAATCTTTAAGACCTCGTTTTCGTTTTGAAAAAAAATATTGATTTATTCTTATTTAAGGCAGTGCTCGTCTGTCCAGGCGGAGCCTGACTGACATAGAACGCGAGGCAGATGAAATGCGCAATATCCTCATCACACAGTATGGTCTGGACATCTCAGATGACGTCGAATGTGACGTTAGCGAGTCCGAGTCGGAATCAGACGAAGGGCGTGAGGTGGACTACGACACCGACCTCGACATGGACATGGACAGTGAGTGTTTCGTGTCCTCCTAGGGCGTGAATGAAACGCCACCTTGAACAACATTGTATTTATATCACGGCTTGTCCGCAGAATGTTGGTGGAAAGCCCGAAGTGACGCAACTCTTTGACGTTAGTGACATCCGCGAGGATGATGTTAACAAACCTAGCATCATATTTAGGGTGCCTTGTCCATAAGAGATATCTCAACCAAACAAGTTGAATTTAAGGACAACCAGTTCATTTGTTGTTTTGCATCATCATATTTAGGGTGCCTTGTCCATAAGAGATATCTCAACCAAACAAGTTGAATTTAAGGACAACCAGTTCATTTGTTGTTTTGCATCATCATATTTAGGGTGCCTTGTCCATAAGAGATATCTCAACCAAACAAGTTGAATTTAAGGACAACCAGTTCATTTGTTGTTTTGCATCATCATATTTAGGGTGCCTTGTCCATAAGAGATATCTCAACCAAACAAGCTGAATTTAAGGACAACCAGTTCATTTGTTGTTTTGCATCATCATATTTAGGGTGCCTTGTCCATATGAGATAAATCAACCAAACAAGTTGAATTTAAGGACAACCAGCTCTTTGTTGTGTTGTGTTGTGTTCCTCATAATAAAGAAGTTGACATCCATATATTCTCTTCCTTAAGGACAACCAGTTCCTTTGTTTCATTCATTTTCATGCAACACAGTTTACAAATACCGCACTGATTCGTGTCCTACCAGAGTGGCTGAACGCTGAGCAGCTTCGTCTCAAGGATGACCTCTCCGGTGAGAGACGTTACGTGGCAGCATGTGACGCCATTGGAGTCACGCCCGCCACTTACTTCGTCAAACACATCGCCGACCACGAAGTGGGCATGAGGTTCCATGGGCTAGGCCCCCAGGGAGCCAAGGCTATGTGCGTTCCACTCAAGGTAAGCCGAGGCAGTATAGAAGTCCATTATGGATAGGTGCGCATCATTGTACGGTTATCATTTCGGTGACGTTATGTTGACGTGAGGCATTGATATGAGTCCTTATCTCTGTGTTAGACCAACAGTAAGATCGAGAAACTGGATCTGGAGGGTAACTGGATAGATGAGGCAGGCTGTGGGAGTCTCGCTGAGATGCTGAGAGACAACATTTACATAACCGAGCTGGTAAGTGCAATCACAAAGTGGGGCATCTTTAGGTATCAAGGTTTTCAAGGGTCATTCACGTTGTTTTAAACAAATTGCTACATGCATGGTACTTCCTGGTTTTATACAGGGTTGTGACGCATTCACAGTATATCAGAGGCCACTTTATCGTATATGGCATCGTGGGACATTCACAATAAGTTTGAGGCATCTTGATCGTATCTGGGATTGTGTCACATTCACAATAAGTTTGAGGCATCTTGATCGTATCTGAGATTGTGTCACATTCACAATAAGTTTGAGGCATCTTGATCGTATCTGGGATTGTGGGACATTCACAATAAGTTTGAGGCATCTTGATCGTATCTGGGATTGTGGGACATTCACAATAAGTTTGAGGCATCTTGATCGTATCTGGGATTGTGGGGCATTCACAATAAGTTTGAGGCATCTTGATCGTACCTGGGATTGTGGGGCATTCACAATAAGTTTGAGGCATCTTGATCGTATCTGGGATTGTGGGGCATTCACTAAATGCTTGGGGCTTCCCGAAGATATCAGGGTTGCAGGGCATTCAGAATATGGGTTGTGTGGCAATCAAGTATAGTCACAGTAGCATTGTGTTCTGTAGTAAAAGACTGAGATGACAATGGTGTTGCAGATTCTATCCGAGAACAAGATCGGCTGTGCAGGTGCTCTGTCTATGTGTGAGATTCTAATGAAGAATGATACCGTCGTCAAACTCGACCTCTCAGGTACGCCATGAGCTCCACTGTAGTCCCTGGCTTGCCCCTACCTCACCCCGTACGTGACAGTTATGGTATAATATGGTATACTCTAGTTCCACTCATCACTTCGGGCTTTCCTCCCACATTAAGCTGACACGCCGTGATATAACTTGAATACTGTTAAAAGCGGCGTTAAACCCAACTCACTCACTCACTCACTCTAGTTCCACTCACAATAATTAATCTTCGTTTACAGGCAACGACATCAAAGATTCCGCGGCAGAGAACATATGCCAGATGCTGAAAGTAAGTTATTTAACGTTCTATTAAACAAAGAACGTGAGATACACCTACACAATACTACTACGTCCTTATACAAAACGTGACTGTAAGGGCGGTTTGCATTGTCCGTTGCATGGCACTAAAGTATAACATAGCCGATACATAACACTAAATTTTAACATTGCTTGTTACATGATACTAAACTATAACATTGCCATTACATAACACTAAATTTAACCATTGCCCATTGCATGACTCTACAGTATACCATGTCCGTTACATAACACTCAATTTTAACATTGCCCGTTGCATGACACTAAAGTATAACATTGCCGTTAAATGACACTAAATTTTAACATTGCCCTTTACATGACACTAAATTTTAACATTGCCGTTCCGTGACACTAAATTTTAACATTGCCCGTTGATTGACTCTAAAGTATAACATTGCCGTTACATAACACTAAATTTTAACATTGCCCGTTACATGACACTAAAGCATAACATTGCCGTTACATGACACTCAATTTTAACATTGCCCGTTACATGACACTAAAGTATAGCATTGCCGTTACATGATACAAAATTTTAACATTGCCCGTTGCATGACACTAGAGTGTAACATTGCCTTTACCTAACACTAAATATTTAACATTGCCGTTACATAACACTAAAGTATAACATTGCCGTTACATGACAGTAAATTATATGCCTATTATGAAACATGACACTAATGTATAGCATTGCCCGTCGCATGTCACTAAAGTATAACATTGGTTCCTATGAAACATTACACTAAAGTATGACATTATCCTTTAAGAAACAGGATACTTCACCTTTGCCTGATGATCATCGTGTTACCTGATCTTTCAAGGAACAGGATACATTACTAATTTCATTACGATAAGGTCAATAGAGACATAAGATAGCATATCGCCTTGTTACAAAGCCCGCATACAGTATAAGATTACATGTATTAGAAACAAGACATTTATCACGCCTTATCTTTCCGGAACGAGAGTTGACTTGTCAAGCTTGTGATTGTTGTACAGAAAAACACATCCCTCCGGCACCTGTACCTGAGCCACAACCACTTCGAGGAGGAGGGTGCTCTTCACTTCAAGGAGGCGCTGTCCTACAACGAATCCCTGGAGACTCTGGACCTCAGCTGGAACAGGTTCAGGACCCGAGGGGCCATCTACATCGCCGAGGGGGTTCAGGTACGGTCAAACCTTTCAAAAAACATAATGGAATATGAAACCCTCAGGTACTTTACAGGTTGGTCACCTACGATGTATAGAAAGAAGGAGGCACGCAATAAATGTGACCTTCCCATTGTTTTTTTTTATTTTTTAAATATTTTTTTTATTTTGTGTTTTGTTTTGTCTGTGCGTGCGTGCGTGCGTGCGTGCGTGCGTGCGTGCGTGCGCGCACTTGTATATGCGTGCGTGTGTGTGGAAGCTACTGAATTTTCCAGTACAGAGTTGCGCCAGCTAGGCGTACAATATCATGTCACTGTGAGTTCGAATCCTAGATTCGAAGTGAAAAAACATATCGGATTTTACTTTAGTGGTAAGAGTCTACGACGTGCCTCTCTTCCGGCTTCCCTGTGACACATTTCAAGACGAGTTGGGTTTTATGCCATCTTATGTTGATGTCAACGTTTATATACTACTAAAAAAGGGTAAAGAACACACACTTGGACGGCAGTATGTTGCAATAATCACCAGCCAAGACAGATTAACCATTGCCATATAAAGAAATCGGGTTTCCTATAAGTTCTTCTGAGTAGTAAGAATAACGATTAATTTTTAATCCCAAATAATTTCTTTAAGTAATGTGTGTTTCTTACTCTCCCAGGAGAACTATGGTCTACGCATTCTCAACTTCTCCATGAACGGACTGGGACTTGCTGGGGCAGAGGCGATGGGGAAGGCCTTGAAGGTCAATCGAACATTGCTTGACCTTGACATTAGTTTCAACCGAATACCGGAAGAGGGAGCTGGTCACATGGCAGTTGGTCTGCAAGTCAATGACGTGCTGCAGTCACTGAAGGTAGGGACATTAATATTTGTATGAGGCCAACCAGCTGGAAACAGCACACTCTGTGGTTCAAGCAAAGGAAGAGAGTGACCACATTGAGTGTGTCAGTAAGGAGTAACACATAAGATGGTTCACGAGATGCATTTTGACACCTTTGAAAATGTCTATTTTAATTAGGCTTAAATTTATATTCTACTGTATAAAGTAAGAACTGACAGATAATTGTCATCGCGACTGTTTTTGCAAGTCAGTAATAAAAGAAATTTGTAAACAGAGGTCCCTACTGGAAAAGTTAGAAGAAGTCGAATTGCTATGTTATCTGCTCACTTGTCGAGATTCTTTTACCATTGTCAAAACGTTCATAATACCACTGTTTTTAATTACTTGTATATTAAGCAAAATCAAAACAGCTTTATCTTTCCAGTATGTATCATAACACTAAATGTCCTTCAGATAAGCTCCAATCCTCTCGGCAGTGACGGGTCATTAGCTCTGCTGGTGGCAGTGGACAGGAACGACTGCAGCTGCCTGAAGTACCTGGAACTGTTGGTAGGTCTTAATCTCTGCATGCAAGTCCTATGATTGGAACTGTTGGTAGGTCTTTGCCTCTGTATCCAAGTCCCATGATTGGAACTGTTGGTAGGCCTTTGCCTCTGTATCCAAGTCCTATGATTGGAACTGTTGGTAGGTCTTTGCCTCTGTATCCAAGTCCCATGATTGGAACTGTTGGTAGGTCTTTGCCTCTGTATCCAAGTCCCATGATTGGAACTGTTGGTAGGTCTTAGGCTCTGTATCCAAGTCCCATGACTGAAACAGTTGGTAGGTCTTAGTCTCTGCATCAACGTCCTATGACTGGAACTGTCGGTAAGTCTTAGCCTCTGCATCCAAGTCCCATGATTGGAACTGGTGGTAGGTCTTAGCCTCTGCATCCAAGTCCCATGATTGGAACTGTTGGTAGGTCTTAGCCTCTGCATCAAAGTCCCATGATTGGAACTGTTGGTAGGTCTTAGCCTCTGCATCCAAGTCCCATGATTGGAACTGTTGGTAGGTCTTAGTCTCTGCATCAACGTCCTATGACTGGAACTGTCGGTAAGTCTTAGCCTCTGCATCCAAGTCCCATGATTGGAACTGTTGGTAGGTCTTAGCCTCTGCATCCAAGTCCCATGACTGGAACTGGTGGTAAGTCTTAGTCTCTGCATCAACGTCCTATGACTGGAATTGGTGGTAGGTCTTAGCCTCTGCATCCAAGTCCCATGACTGGAACTGATAGTAGGTCTTAGGCTCTGTATCGAAGTCCCATGACTGAAACAGTTGGTAGGTCTTAGTCTCTGCATCAACGTCCTATGACATGGCACTTTACATTTAGCTTACCTCGGGTTATCTAATTGTTTCCAGAACGTGTGGGTGATGGACAGCTTTATTGAGCTGAAGGAGAAGCTGGAGAAGGACCGGAATCTCATGGTGGTGTATGGCGGCCTCAAGAAGAAGCTGTTAAAGCTCACAGCCCTCAGAGGGGTCGAGTGGGAACGCTGGCTCGCCAACAACCCAATGACGAAGATAAAAAACTACATCCGAGATACGGGATACCGTCTTATTGACCTCTTCCGGGACTTTGACAAAGACGGCAATATGTCTATCACCAAGCAGGAGTTTCATATTGGCATACAGGTGCGACCTATGGAGGACAAATAACGGTTCCTTTTCACCTTTTTCATTTTTTAAAACAAAATATCCTTCAGATGTGGTAAACACTGCATATATGACATACATGTATGTAGAACATGTAGGACATTGTGTATGTACTAGTATATGTGTGGTATTGCGTCAAAGTGAGGTATGCAGCGTCAAGGTAAAAGTAAGAGTTAATCATTTCCTGGTGTGTTTCCAGTCTGCTGGCATCGTGATGACCAAGGAGCAGGTGGACGAACTGGTCAAGAAGTTGGACAAAGACGGGAACGGGGAGGTGGATTACGGGTGAGTAAAACAACTGTGGTGTGACAGGGGCGAGAACGGAGGGCGGGGTGGACTGTAGGCGCGTTAAACTGTGGATGTGACAGGGACGAGAACGGAAGAGGGGAGGGATGGACTGTCGGCGGGTAAAACAAACTCCTGATGTGACGGGGGCGAGAACAGAGGGCGGGTGGACTGTCGGCAGGTTAAACCACTCCTGATGTGACAGGAACGAGAACAGAGGGAGGGATGGACTGTCGGCGGGTTAAACAACTCCTGATGTGACAGGAACGAGAACAGAGGGCGGGGTGGACTGTCGGCGGGTTAAACAACTCCTGATGTGACAGGAACGAGAACAGAGGGCGGGGTGGACTGTCGGCGGGTTAAACAACTCCTGACGTGACAGGAACGAGAACAGAGGGCGGGGTGGACTGTCGGCGGGTTAAACAACTCCTGACGTGACAGGAACGAGAACAGAGGGCGGGGTGGACTGTCGGCGGGTTAAACAACTCCTGATGTGACAGGAACGAGAACAGAGGGCGGGGTAGACTGTAGGCAGGTTAAACCACTCCTGATGTGACAGGGGCGAGAACAGAAGGGAGAGGGGTTGGCTGTGAGCGAGTAAAACAACTGCGAATGTGACAGAGACAAGAACGGAAGAGGGGAGGGGGTGGACTGTGGGCGAGTTGAACATCTGTGGATTTGAAGAGACGGGAAATTGTAGAATTGTGGCACAAGCAGGTTGAACATTTGAGGGGGTTGGTAAGTGCAAGGAGACTACCTGGGTTTTACGCCGCTTGGAACGTATTACCTGTCAGCTATAGACACTAATGTAAGAACTGAATAAAAGATTAACTTGATATGTTGTACCTTCGTTGTGTAGAGTAGCCATGTCATGTGTTCATAGGGAGCTGATGGAGGGGGACAGGGAGTACAGACAAGCGCTGAGAGCGGCAGCTGCGAAAAAGAAGGTGATGGTGGAGTCGGGGGGCATGTCTGAAGACGGGGATGATTCAGCAAGCAGTCGTGTCCCCTCCGTCATCAGGATGCTCATTTCGGAGAGAGACAGCGCCAGCAGCTCCGAGTCAGGCAAGTCATAGCAGGAACACTATCGTGCAGAAGGTTAAGAGGTGAGCGCCTCGGGTCAACTGGTACCTTTCCTGTTCCTAAGCCAATTTTAACTCAACGACGTTTCAGCATAGTCGCTTTATAGAAGTTGTCAAGATGGAACCAACATTGCAGCTGAGGAAGGATTGGATCAGGACCAACATGTCTTGAGGCAGCGAGCACCATCCTATCACGTTGCCAGCCGTTAGACGAGACGTGTGATCTGACAAGATTAGGAATAGTGTACTTTGTCGTATATCTGGATTCACTGCATGACACAAGCCTTGGCCAGTAGCTAGGATTATTCAAGGATGAATCTAAATATTCATCTCAAGGACAGTACATTGCGTTGATCAACCAAATGCAGAAACTGGTTGGTTATTGACCTTCTTTGCAACAGCTGGACCAACTTTATGGAACTCTCTGCCAACTCACAAGAAGCCTCCAAGACGTGGAATCATTTAAATCAATTGTAAAAATATATTTCTTCAGAGAAGCGTATCTACAGCTCGCTGGACTTTTCACAAGCTTAAACTGGAGCTAAGCGCTGTATTCATGTGTAGATATTATTTATTGTTATTTTTAACATTGTGTTTGTCTTACAGGAAGTAGGAACGTTCTTACGGCAGTGTATACTGATTTGTGACTTTCTTAATTTCTCATGCTTTTAAGAACATATTTGCCATCTCTCATCATGGCCGCACTGTTCCACTGGGATGCTCGTAGAAGCAAGAAAAGGCGATGAAGTATTTTATTTTGCCATTACATTCTATTTATTTTTCGAGAATTTAAATGTCATGGTGAGAGAGTTACTTTGATACCCATTACATTAATTCGACTCAACATGACATTCAAATAACCTGGACTATCGTAGTTCTTCCAATAACATGTCAATATTAGCGTACTTCGGGTAAGAATATGCCTACGAAAATTTGTTCAACAGCATGTACATATAACATTATGTCGATGTGTGTTTTGTATACTCATGGTATGTCAATTATTCAAGATAATTATGTATATGTCCATTATGATAGCGTGGCATGCTCTGTGCAGAGCCATTGTCACCAAATACATGTATATTTACCTATTAAACATATTCTGCGTCTTTACTGATTGATGCTGACATTCAAGGACCGCCGTGGTTTAGTGGATAGCGAGCGGTCGCGTCATACCAAATGGCGTTAAAATGTTACTTGCTGTTACCCTCCCTGGCGATGTGCATTAAGGGGGGGAAAACAAGGACTGGTCGGCTGGGAGTCACTATATTGTGTCTGAGAGGGGTATCCATGTTAAACTGTGGGCAAGCACTATACAGCAAGCACTATACAGCTGGTATTAGTTCGCACGCACGCACGCAAACACACACGCGTTGCTATACAAACTCCATTAGCCCCCACCTCTGATATTCAATGCACCTCGGTCAGTTGCCACGACACAACTAGTAGTACAACTCCGGGTTAAAAGTTAAAAATTGATTCAAGGCAGCCTATGCTAGTCGAATCGTGGCCACTGCATGGATCAGGGGTGTGTCAGGCTCGGCTGATTGAATCGTGGCCACTGCATGGATCAGGGGTGTGTCAGGCTCGGCTGATTGTGTGTCATCGAACCCTGGCGGATCGTTGTTAGTCGCATCATCAAACCAGACTCGATTATTTACAGGCCATCGTCAAATAACCGGAATAGTGTGGAGTATGGCGTAACACCAAACACAGCAGTACTACTTTCTTGGTAAAATAGGATGAGATATCGTTTGCCGACATTTATGCGAGTACCTTTTTAAATATGTTTATTTGGTTTAACGCCCACCTAAACATTATTCCAGTTATATCACGGCTTCTCAGCTTAATGTTGGAGAAAGGTGAAACAGACGTTTAGCGCTATTATTTCGCGAAACTCGCGAGCACGGGTATGGTGCTGACAAACCTAGAAGCATAATCGGGGCGAACTCACGATCATTTGTTTCAAGGGACAGCGAACTGCAGCGCCTTAGACGACTTGACCACTGCCCCCCTAAACACACCTATAGAGAGTGACGTAAGGAAATATCCTGATTGATTCACTCAGTTCCAATACAACCCAGCATTCCAAAATACATGAGTTCAACACTGGAGAACCAGTAACTTCACATAACAAGGCAGCGCGAAATTGGATGACATTTTATTCATTCTCGACAATGGTAATTAGATGTTAAAGGAACACATCCAAAAGGTAGGTACAAACATCTTGCATAGGTTAAATCTAAAAAATACCATTACGACATTTGACATGTGAGCTCCTTTTTGCCGAGTGCGTGTAACAAACAGGCGAGGGCGATAGCTCGGACCAGACACAGAGATCAGCCAATCACCTCCTGAGTGATGGAATGATCACGTCACATAACTGATGCTTGCATTGCACCAGACGACATCAGTTGGTGGGAGAACTTTAGACTACTACTCTACATATATTTCGGTGTTAGCGTTGCTGAAGGAAAGGTTCTCAATTTGTTTTGCAGCTTCTGGTCCGAATATAAGGAAATGATGGCACATGTAGTTTGTGGACAAATTACCTTGGGGTGTCCTCTTTTCTAATGCAGCAATGCCAGGGCAATATCATGACTGGACACAGTATAAATATCAAGAAATGTGTTTTCAGATGTCTCCGATATATGACAAACATTTATAATTTGTGGTAACATCAAAATGAATTAAGATTTTTAGATGCTTTCTTTGTGTCAAAAATTTAAACAGGTCTAACCTGGAGTCAAACAAGATGATCATCATGAAGCAGTTTTTTTAAGAGGTACATGATTTTCAGGTTGTTTCTGTACAACAGAATTCGAGAAAGAATCAAGTCCTTGAAAATAAGTGGGTCTAAACATTTATAAAATGTTTGAAACCTTAAAGGTGATAGCTTCGTGTGGCAGAAGGGATGAGTGGGCATGACCGGATGTGCCCTTCTTGCCAAGATGTCCCTCTAATGCATGCCATCACCTTCTGGACAGGGCCCACAGTGTGTTGTTGGGCGATCTTTCACATCAATCACCCACATCTCTCAACAATTGAAAGCATCAACAGAATGCAGCTAAAGATGGACATCATACGCAATCTGGAACCAAATTCCAGTCATGGGGTAGACAGTTGACATGTAAAAACTGATGCCAAGTTGGACATTGACAGTCTTTCTATATTCAGTAATTATTTATTGCTGGGTAACATCTTACATCTTGGGCTAGCCGATTCAAGCAAAGTGGCATCTGAATGACCTGAAGTGGCCAAATCCAAGTGCTTCATTTATAGATTCAAACATTCATCATAAAGGATTATCATTTGATAAGTATTATAATGAAATGGAGAAAATTATATTTTACAATAGAAATCTTTTCAACAAAACGTTTTTAAATATTATGCCTTTATGGTCAGAACTATTTCAGGAGCATGTCTTATTTAACAAACGGTATCTTTATTTGAATATTCAGAATCTAACTTGACTTCATAAAGATGACAGATAATGATCAAGACTGACTGATGTCAAAGTAAAATATAAGTCAGATGTGAAGTATTGGTGTATTGTGGATAGTGTCTAGTGTGTTGATAGTCACGACTACGACAATGAACCATTAATTACTGAGGTACACAAACAATCCAAGCCTACATCCTGACACAGTAATGCAGACTCAAGATTATTAACAAGAATAAAAATATGTGGAACACAAAATAAACATACAATCCCATCACAAACAACAGAAACTGACACAATCAGTCTCACAAGCAACATGGGATGACTGAGCATGACACGGACCCAAAACATTGCCTTTCTATAAAAATACATTCAATGAAAATGAAAGACAACAGTCACATGTTGCTGCTTGTTACTGTAGAATCTAGAAAAGGTGGAATGCATCTTTTTCACGTGTCCATTCCTCCAGGAACATTATTTGGCAAGCAGGCAATCAACTCAAAATGTACATATGCGCAAATCAAAATAATATAAGCTATGAATTCATCACTGGCAAACTCATCACCTGACAAAAGCATTGGTTGTTGGACCTTGAAGAATGTTAGAACACAAAGACCGAAGTTAGTAAACAGAAAACTGTCCACAGAAATGGTTACTAAAGATCTTATAAAATGTCATCAAGGATTATTGTAACTTACAAGGAATATTCCCCACCGGTGTCATACTACAATAAATAACCTACAAACCAAGGATTCGTTACATCCATCACCAATTGAAGCAGGTACATGCTGGAACGTTTACACATAACCTGACAATTGTCGTTAGTACTGTACAAAACATTTTGATTATCAAATATTTACACGTATGTACATGGGTCTAACTTTCCCTATATGATCAACAGCCAACTTGTAATAGGTTTTTTCAAAAGAAACTTGATAATACATGCCACCTTTTTGATGAAAGCAACAATTATAAGTGTTGATTGATAATATCAAGACTTACTCTGCAAAGAAACAAAGGATGCACTGATCTTCAGCACTAGATCTTGATGTCATAAACAAGCCATCAAACTGAAACGGGCCATACAAAGTCTCTGAGTATATCGACGGCAGGTAACAATAGCACTAATTGAAAGTACATGTATAGACTATCATACCCTTTAACTTGTGTATTTACAAAGACCAAATATCACTAAATATTTTATGTACACAACACATTAATATGCACCATTAGTGAAACACTGATATTTGAACACTTAATACTTGATTAACATTGAACATGGAGGCTGGGAACAGGATAGAGAAGGGGAGGTAACCTAGCATCTTCTACAGCACACATGAGCAATGACTTATCCAGTTGGAAGGCACTATATGGAAACACACACATGGCTATTGCAGCTACACTGACAAGGAAAATATTTAACTAATTTATCCAGTGAAAGGTATTTTCAAAAGTCTGCCCATACTATTTTGAGGGTTTTTGTAAAGTTATACATGTTTTTCATGCTAAAGAAGTTTAGAAATTTTAATAATGAATCCACTCATGTTTATTTCATACCATCCTGTTCTGTAATCGAAAAATGAATGTGGGAGACTTATAGATCTCCAATTTGAAATATTCAGAAGAAATTTAGTTTTGGTGGTAATAGTTGTATACTGTATTACATAAGAATATTGTGTGAGTATTGAATGCTGGCTGATGGTATCTTTACATAAACAACATGGCGAGAACTGTGACGTTGACAAAAGGGCTGAACTTTCCAAGTGTGATATATATGCTCAGTTGGGATTGGTACTACTGTCTGTAGGAGTCAACACAAAACTATGAAACAGAATACAGCTCAATGAAGTCCACTACAAATTCCCGTTGAGTGCCATTTTTTAAATGAAGTTGCTCATAAAGCAAGCCCAGCACAACATGGCTAAGACTGAACAATTCACAGATCTACTACCTTTGTCATGGCATTCATACAGGCATACATCATGTAACATACAGGATGTGTACACCCTTGGCTACCCTTATTGCCCTATTCAGCATGTACATGCAGTACAATCACCTTACTTCTACAGCTGTGGAGTCTCATGGGCAAGTACTGTGTATCAAACTGACTGAACTAAACCATGAACAGTGAAACTAATGGACTATTACAAATTTGTACTATCCTGGCTTTATGGGTTTTTCTTCAGTGGAATCATTGATTCTAGGTTAATACACTTAATGTGAAAACTATGGAGAGGGTAACTAGGATTTCCTGAGTATAACGGCAATATCATCACAAACAGAACTGGCTGTTCATCGTTTCATTATTATGGCACAAGCAGGTATGCCAGGATACAAAAACTAGCACTGGTTACATTCTTCGATTACCTAAATCCTATTGGATTACATATCATCTGTAATTCTCTGATCTCATGAACGTTTGGTTTGTTGTTTGTATGACTAGTGTTTGACACGTTACCATGGTTACTACGTTGATATGGCTGATGAGAGATATGACAACCATGTTTTACAAAATATCTTGAAATGTCTGGGGTAAACAAAGAATAAATTAACCCATCTGTACATGTATAATGTAAACAGATTAACCCGTCAGGTGCGAATTTAAAAAGGAGCTTGTCCTAATAAGTTTGGCATGGATTACCAGGGGTGTGGAAAATCAATGCCCGATTTGTTACGCGAGATCGCCAGACAAAAAAAACCTAAACAGCTTCAGTTGCCCAGGGACAACCTTAAAATTGTATTTGGAAGATGTACTAAAAGTAGTTTGAACAAATGAAAACATTGCGAGTGTGACCATTGTAACTGACGGCATTCTCCGATTGGTCTTTCAGAGGACCAATAGCCAATTGCGTAGCATATTCTAAAAGCTGCACTGGCTGTTAAAAATATTTTTGTTTGATAATGACAGGGAAATAAATCACTTTCAGTCACTTTCAGGTGGGTAAAGCCACTTAGAATAAAAAACTGAGTCATCATCTTCATAATGATAACACGTAGGCAGTAAGTTAGAAACTAACCTGGACAAGTAGGATTTGTAACTACACATATGAAATTTTACTTTTTACTTGTCTGGGGATAAGTTCACTATTTTGATATTTCCACACACCTGATTACCTAAACCGCAGCTCGCAATACAGCCATTACTGTCTAGAGTGGGAACATTAATGGAACATGTTCATTCAAGGAAATTTGTGTCCATACTCTTGACATCTGTTCCCCTTTAATTTTCATGCATAACTCATAATTTACGAAGTTATTTCTCAAAATTTGCATGGCCACCCCCTAATGTCAAGATACTGAGGTGTGTCCCAGAAACAGCTGAGAGGGCACCTGTATTGACGAGGTTACATCTGTCACATTGTCTGATACAAACAGTCCATTGTATCCTCATCTAGCACTGTGGAGCTTCTAGTAATGCACAAGCTCCTATCTGGAGCCTACATCTAGAATGCCTAGTAGATGGCGCTGCTAGTTCTTCTTCAGTTTCCGCGTGGCCTGCTTGGCAGCCTGTTGGGCGGCATGCTCTGCGGCTTTGGAATAGACCTGGGACAAGGCCTACAACAGAGGGAGAAACACACATGAATTTATCTTTTCATGGAAAGCTACTTTTTGTTTGTTTGTTTGTTTGTTGTTTAAAGCATCGACCCACGCAATTGGGATACAATGACATGCTTCAACCAACCCGATATCGATAGTCGCCTCTTACAACAAGCATAGTCGCCTCTAATGGCAAGCATGGGTTGTTGAAAACCTCTTCTCTACTAAAAGTCACACTGACAGTCTCATCACACTTTTAACTGAAGTTAATCCAAACTCAAGATCTTTTCATAGCCATATTATCCTGCTCCATGCCAGAAATAAATAGTCATATAAGAAGAGCTTTGAAGAAAACTCAATTTCTGAGAAGAATCATTTGTGTGAAAACCTTTCACTTTCTTAAAATAATGAATCAATGTCTTTAAGAGGCATTTTAACACATCATCCTAAAATATATCAGTATATGTATAAGCTGATCTTCAAGGACTGAAAGAGATGATAAGAAGGAAATCAGATTAAAAAAAAACAGGTCCATGAGAACTTACATTATGATTTGAATCAAGTGAGAAAATGGTTGAACTCACATGTTCCCAAATAAAATCAGCCAGCTGGTCGATGTATGCTCCGATTTCCCTGTACTCTCCGCTATAGCGCACATACAACCACGCACACATGATACCAAGGAAAGCAATCATGACAAGATTCAACAAGCTGGCTAGTGACTCAAGTCCGACAACACCCAGGATACCAGCCAGCAGGTAGGAAGCCACCATCACGGTGAACAACACCGCTGGTGTTCTTGCAGCACTGAAAATGTTCTTGCTTGCGTTATGTTTTTGGAAGTTATCGAAACACTCTTCCAATTCCTCCTTCAGTTGGTCTCCATACATTTTACTGAACTCTGGGCCTCCCATCTTCTTAGTGCTGGAGAACAGGTCCAGGGCTCGCTCCAAACACTGACTGTGCTCCTTCTCCAGTTGGTCAGGGTTCATGTAGGGTTTCTCACCACCGATGGTCTACAAACAGAGAACTTCTTCATCAGGGGGATGTTTGTTTGTTGCATAACGCCGCACTCAGCCATATTTCAGCTGCATGATGGCAGTCTGCAACCAATAGAGTCTGGACCAGATAATCCAGTGATTGACATCATCATCACTTAAAAGCAGTTCTGGGTGATGTAGTTGCAATAGGCATGTGTATGTTTCCGTGTAGTGCCTTCCAACTGGATAAGTCAAGGGTCTCAGACAGACTTGTACATTTCTCACATAGGATAACCACTTTCGTCACACAAACTGCTGATGAAAGTTTGCCATAGACATGAAGAAAAAGCCATTTCATCTTTGTGTTTCACAACTAGTTATTTCTTCAATTAATTTTTCAATAATAGTAAAATCTAAATATTATTTACATTTGGATACTTGTCCTGCATTACTACCTTAATGCATAATATCAAAACGACAGCAGTGGAAGCAAGGTAGTAATGCAAAAGAGACAAAAAAAATGATGTTTTATTTTGTTTTTCTTAAATGCCAAGAAAATCGTTCTGTACAACAATTCTAAATGTTGATGGCAACAAATTTGTTTCTGATATTAATGCCACAACTTAAGTAACATTGTTTGTTATTAGCATTGCTCCACCAGCTTTACAGTGTAATGCCAACACTAACCTCCTCCATTTCCCTGGTGTATTGTAGTTTGGCGTGTGACACAGCAGACAAGTTGTTAGCCTCTGCGGTGGCCTGGAGACAACAAGAACCAGTGATAGTCAAGATCATACAAGCACATAGGGTCCAACTGGCCACCAACACATACAATTTTGTGAACCCACATTTCAAACCATAACCTGCTGATAAGAAAGCAGATTATCATACATGCATATCCTGCGTACTTGACACGATATTTATCCAAAATACTCAACATATTTCGTATGAGTCCCGTTTAATGCAACATATTCTGATCAGTCTGTACTATGTTATATGGCCATGAATTTTATTGTTTAACCATGATTGTTACTATCTTAAAATGTTTCTATTGAGATTAGGCAGAAGCTTACTGCATTGTATTTGGCCAATGATTAGTTGTCAGGAATTTGGTACTATTTAATGTAAGCAGTGGTGAGGAAGTTACTATATTTAGATGTTTCTGTGGTGAATACTGTGGACTGAGATAGAGTGTTGTAGAAACATGTGGAATATTCTGTAATGTGAAGGCAGTGTGCGGAAATTTCCAGAAGCCAGTTAGACTGTATACAAGGGGACAACAGCGTGCCTCTCGGATCTCTTGCACATTTCGTCACACATTTTATCGGACATTATCCAGACAAGCTTTGTGTGGAGATCACTCTTCACCCCTAGTCAATTTTGTAATACATTTGATGATTGTATAACATTTGTTAGTTTCATACCAAGTTCTTTTAAGTACAGATTTCTGGGTTAACATATTGTTTCAATTTTGGGAATCGTCATGTAACAACTACTTCCTGCAAGCACATCCAAGGGACTAACAGAGACTGTTTACTTTGTCATCAATAAATGTCTTAATAAACAGAATATTCATAATGTTGACTATGACTTGCATTGCTAATTCATCAAGGCTGAAATGGAAGTTTTCTGCTTGAAGTTCTTTTTGTATTATTTTATCTTATTGTCTCAAGCTAAAACTCATAAATGACTCCACGACTCATGACTACATAAAATCTGCATGTTTTAAAAGGCTACTTATGGCCAGACTAGGGAATTTAAAGTTTGATGCTTTGACTCCTACAATACGCATTGGTAAAGATTAAAGTTGAGCTTGGGCCACATGAAGGCCTATACCGCTTCAACAGGTCTAAACAGATTCCTACAAGTGTGGAGACAGTTACCTCCCTTGACTCACTGACCTGCAACATTGACTTGGGCTCTGGCAGCTCCTCTCCTTGGTAGATCTTGATGTAGGCCTGGCGGAACAAGTGAACAATGTAGGAAATCAGCCCCTTACTTCACACCAATCACATTCACTCTGTCATTTGTATGAACATGATTCTTTACTGTCATTGTCTTGTGATATGCTTCATCTACTAGGTCCATTCTCGATCTCAAGCTGTTAGCATCCCTGTGGATATTCTCGGGGCAGAAAGAGTGACATGTACCTCATGCTTGTTGTAAAAGTAGGGACCAAGTGGTGACACTCAGCTGTGTTGGGTTTAACTTCGTGTTCAAGATTATTGCACTTATATAGCGACGTGTACGTGTGCGCACTAGCCCACTAAGCTACCATGCCGCAGTTTACCATGAATACCCCACTCAGACACAGTATACTGACTCCGAGCCGACCAGTCCTTGTTTTATCCCTTTAATTCCGAGCAGTTACAGGGTAACAACAAATACCATCTTTTAACGTCTTTTGGTATGACCGGCGGATGCTCTACCACTAGACCATGGAGGCGGTCGACTCATCTGTGACTGTGCTGCTTATGGGTCATAGTAAGCTGATGGTGTGGGTGTGGGATGGTGTGTATTGCATGTATTTCATGTATTTCATGTATAATAATTCATGTATTGTGACATGTACTACAATATATTGCATGCCTTCTTTCATCTATAATTTGTAATGAACCTGAATAAAAAAAACTTTTCTCGCTTCGTAAATGTCCGCCATTTTGTTGGATGTTAATATGGTCACAATGCATGTGTAATAGACACATTACCGGGGTCATGAATAGTTTTGCTTCTTTGATCACATGAATCAGTTGCCAATGTCTGAATTTTATGATTTTGATTCAACTTTTCACTTATGTAAACTTTGCCCACAAGATGAAAATATACATGATTTTGAATTACACAACATACCAGTGTTTTTCAAATGTATTGTAATGTGTATTCATCAGCATTTCATATCGTGGCATATCGGTATACAAGTAACACCGCTCACTTCGAAAACTCAAGTCTTTCGTTTGTTTGGTACAGATTGGAATTTTTACTGGCTGTCGTGAAATAGCGGGAATACTGTTGCCCTCTTCATTAACCATCATTCACTCAAGGTCCCTGCAACATCCAATCACTGAGTGACTCTAGTTGTTACCTTGAAGTACTCCTCAAGGTCCCTGCAGGTGATCTGACAGCCATTGATCTCCTTGATGATGAGATTCTCCTTGTCCAGGAGGAGAGGGATGAGGATCTGCAGCTGCTCCTTGAACTCAGTCTCGATGTCTGCAACCCAAAGCTGTCCATAATACCGCAAGTCAAACACCTACTGATACAATAGCTTTGCCTACTAATAACTGAAAATAAGTCTTCCCAGCTGGTCATCCATCAAGGTACATTTCCTTGCGTGGTCACTTATTAGAGTTAAGAAACCAAAACATGGAATCTCAATATGTGACAAACATCAAGATCATGAGGTCATTACATAAGAATCTTAACAAAAAATGTAGTTCCTATATCATGAGGCTGCACACAGTATAACATGTATCTTAAATAATCTTATTCCTTATTACATATTTCATCTCATCCAACTGCTTTTTTCTAACCAGAGTTCCAACTGTGTTGCATACATGACCTATCTTAAGGTTTGTTTGTTTGTTTGTTTGTTTCTTAACGCCGCACTCAGCAATATTCCAGCTATATGACGGCAGTTTGTAAATAATGGACCAGACAATCAAGTGATTGATATCGTGAGCATCGATCCATGCAATTTGGATGCGATAACATGCATCAACCTAGTCAGCGAGTCTGACCACTCGATCCCATTAGTCACCTCTTACGTCAAGCATAGTGGCCTTTTACGGCAAGCATAGGCTGCTGAAGACCTATTTTAACCAGGATCTTCAATAGGTAACCTATCTCAAGGAGAGTGGCAAGTACCTTTGAGTCGTCCATCAAAGTGTGGGTTGGTGGCCACCTTGAGGCCTGGGTGCGGCATGAGGAAGCAGGAGATGTATTCGAAGCAGGAGCTGATGTGTTGGCGCAGCTGCTGCAGTTCAGGATGCTGCTTGTTGGAAATCTGATGACAAGGGGATGAAGAGTTAGAGAGAGAAAGATGTTTGTTGTTTGAATACTTTCCAGTTCCAGTCACATTACCAACACGAGTTCTCTGCACTGGCAGAACAATAATTGAGAGAGATATAAATGCTTGACAATGGTTTTAACAGTACTTTGTCACATCAAGACAGTCAGCACATAACATGGGAGGAAAGCTGAAAGCAGATGCAGGATACACACATTGACCAAACATTGTACTCATATCAGATTTTACCTAATGGTCACTGCAGCTGATCAACCAAGGGACATAACTGTACACACATCTTAAAACTAATGTTACAACAAACGGAAACAGCAAAAGCTGATGCAACGCTTACTCAGTTGCATCATATATATTTTATCAGTGTATAAAATTCCCCCAACTTTCAGCCAAACAACCGAACTGGCAACTTTGCGAACGTCATGTACAAGTGTGACTGTAGACAGTAAACTAGACTTACTTGCAGTCTTCTGGCCAGGATCTTCTTTCCACCAGCCTCACCATAAGTAGCTTCATAGGGGAAACTCCAGTCTCTCACCAGGAAGTGCAGATTCTAACAAACAGAGTTTTCCGTATACTTTTTGGTCAGTATACATGGGGTTTGGGGTGTTGGTTACGGATTTTGATAACAAAACATTTGGTATGTATGTTGACAGTAAAATAACAGGCACTGTACAAAATTTCTTTTAATCATCTTGAAGTTGATTTGGATTGGTAGATGATAGGTTTGGGTCCTTTAAGAGTCGGCATACCCAAAAGAAATTACTTCGCTTGTCTCTGAATTGTTTACACACACTGCTTTTCTGGAAAAAATTAACTACGATAGGCTTTGGGCGGATACAAATTTATTCCCCTGCATTTTACCAAGTTTCCCATAGCGGCTGTGCACGTATTCCCCTAATGACCACTATCAAACTGTATAATAAATGCATTCAGTTCCAATGCGGAAACTATGCTACCAATAAGCTTTCATATTAAACCCATTCAAAGCTTTTAGTTCAAATAGAAAGGAGGCCCTGATCTAAGGAAGCTGTTGTCTTACCTGGAATGGTTTGGAAACATTATCATTTGCTTCCAAAGCCAGTCTTCCATATTCTGTGAACAGCTGAAAGACACACAGCACCATATTAACAATGTTGTAGATTCCAATAAACCAGAGTGTGTACAGAACATCAGTTACAAAGTTCAACATCATTCAAAAACTGATTTGCTACTGAACTACCATCTTCTTAACGGTAAAAGCGGCAGTCCACTAGGAAATATGACTAAATTATATTCTTCTTGAATGACCATATGTCAATTTCAATATCCAGTGCAGGATTCCTAAAATTCAAGGCCATGGAAATTCAATGTTGTGCATGACAAGTGGTTAAATCATGTCAAACCTGACCTAGAAAACACACTACCGTCGGTGCATACGAAAATACTGTTTGGGACTTCATCACAGCAATGATAGCAACAACATTATGAATAAGAGCATGTATGTTATAACAACTGATACTGCTCTATGATCACCATTGGTAACAAGACATCAGACACAAACAAAGCTGTTCCAACTTCCACCCATGCTGCATTGTAAACAGCAGTAAAGAAACAGTGATTTGATCAACAAGATCAGAGGTTGCTGATTACTCTCAAGGTTCTGTTTTCAAATGCAGCACAGCAAATTGGATGTATTTTTCAAATTTTTCTCAGCAATGAATTCTCAAACAGGTAGTGTATCAACAGATGTACATGGGGTGGCTGAAACATTTGGAGCCTGACGACGAAGGATGCACAGAACCAGTTTGTATGTATTAAGTAATACTTTCCTTGCTAACAGACTGCATTCGGACCAAATCTCGACAGACATCAAAGTGACTAAGCATATATTCTCTGTTGAAGGAAGTGAACAAAATTGGCTACCATGTTGACATCAAGTATCTCCAAGTGAACAGCCATCCATGGGGACATGGTGTCAACAATTAGAGATGGTACTCCTTCCTTTGTCAGTGTTCACGGGTAGACAGCTTCAGATTTCTACCCAATCTCATTAAAATCAGACCTTAGTTCTCGCTACCGCTTAACAAAGATCTGAAGACATCCCATTAGGGGTCACGTCAGAACGACCTTTCATCCGACCAATCAGTGCGTCGCTAACCAGATTATGAAAGTGACAGTAGGAATGTGATTTCTAATCATGCAATCTTGAAAACATTAACATTGGGTATTCCGAACGATAGTTTAATGACTGAATCCTTACAATCTAGACCATCTATTAGCCATTCCAGAATGTTTTTTGTTCAGGTTTCAAATTTGTAATCGAGAATTTGTCAAAATATGTTTCGAAGCGTAGTCGCCAATTTGAAATTTCGCCGTAAAGCACGAGAAAGCTGCCTTTTGATTGGTCATTCCATTGGTCGGTCAAAGTTCGCGCAAGGTCGGTCTGACGTGACCCATAATGGGATGTCCTCAGATCTTTGTTTAGCGGTAGCGAGAACTAAAATCTGATTTTAATGAGATTGGATTTCTACCTCTTCCCAAGCTTGAAGAAAGAACTGTCTGGCAAACATACAAATGATGATGATGCCCTTTCTGCTGTGGAAGACTTTTTACACCACCAAGAAAAAAGCCTTCTACACCAGTAGGATCCTGGCACTCTAGGATCATTGGCAGAAGTATGTGGACCATGGAGGTGATAAAGCTAGTTGAACATAGCAGCCAACTCCACGGAGTCCATCACAGTTAGGATCAGAACTGGTCATCCACCTCTTGTATGTCTCATCCACAAGCCTGCACATTGTTGATGAGTTGTTAACATACATGATGTAGCTAGTTGTGTGTAGTTACCTGTAGGTGCTGAAGGTCATCCTCTTGTATGTTCTGTGTTAGGTTGTACACCTGGAACATGACACATACTGAACAGCACAGTGTCAGGTAAACTAACTCCAGCCACAATCACATAACCTGTCAGAACACAACTAACTTCACAAATAAAATAAATTATCCATGCTTAATTCTGAGAAAAGTTCCTCTTGGATGAGCCAGTGAATGCTGTTTAACACTGCTTTTAGCAACATTCAGGCCATATTATAAACTATTATTTAGCATGAAAAGTAGGTTACAGTGACCTATATAAAGAACACATAGGATTTAATGACAATCCCATTTTTTCTACACCTAGTGAGGAGTTAATGTTTCACGTCACTTCAGTAATATTCAGCTACATAGCTAGCTTCTATATTTAACTATACATGACCATGTACATTACACCAAAAATAAGATGGCAAACATCTTTAGTGCTTATCTTGTAAACCACGAGATCCAGCATCAGAGCTCCCATCAACATGGTCGAAAGACAAACAGCTTACCTGCACGGAACTGATCATTGTGCTGAGTGCAAACACTGTTGCACAGTCCCGCACGGTAGACTCGCTGTCAAATGCACCCTGGGTGTCCATGAGGATGACAGCCACCTGTAAATCATAACATATGATCAGTACCCGCCACAATTTGATATGTACCAATGCATTGTGTTACCAACAAGTCTTCTTTCATGCACTAATGCCCTCTTCTTTCACGCACTAATGCCCTCTGCTTTCATTCATTAATGCCCTGTTCTTTCACGCATTAATGCCCTCTTCTTTCATGCACTAATGCCCTCTGCTTTCACGCACTAATGTCCTCTTCTTTCACGCACTAATGCCCTCTGCTTTCACGCACTAATGTCCTCTTCTTTCACGCACTAATGCCCTCTGCTTTCATGCACTAATGCCCTCTTCTTTCACGCACTAATGCCCTCTGCTTTCATGCACTAATGCCCTCTGCTTTCATTCATTAATGCCCTCTTCTTTCACACACTAATGCCCTCTTCTTTCACGTACTAATGCCCTCTGCTTTCACACACTAATGCCCTCTGCTTTCATGCACTAATGCCCTCTGCTTTCACACACTAATGCCCTCTGCTTTCACGCACTAATGCCCTCTGCTTTCATTCATTAATGCCCTCTTCTTTCATGCACTAATGCCCTCTTCTTTCACGCACTAATGTCCTCTGCTTTCATGCACTTATGCCCTCTGCTTTCATGCACTTATGCCCTCTTCTTTCATGCACTTATGCCCTCTGCTTTCATTCATTAATGCCCTTGTCTTTCATGCACTAAAGTCCTGCTTTCATGCATCACCTTTCAGGAGCCCTGCTTCTTAGTGACAGAGTTCTGATTTATACTTGACCCCCTATGTATGAATCTGACTTGAATTTGTTTGGGCCAAAATTGGCTGTTTGTTTGGAGATATCAAGAAACTGAATATTTGATTTGGACATCAGGACAAGCTCCACAACATCATCTTAGACAGCTAATAATTGGTATGATAATGCTATGAGCAACTCACTTCTTCTCCATTTGGGATACGGCAGATGAAAGGTTCACTCCACAGCAGGATTCCGGTGGTATCCCGCTCAGATCCTCCCCGCCACGTGAAGCCCTCCAGTGGGGAGTCCTCTTCCCCCAGCCAGTCCGGGGAACACTGGATAACATAGAACAGGCCTTACATTTATTTTTGCTTGGTAATGGGTCCACTGACCGCAAAAATTGAAAATTATACTGTTGACAGTAAAGATCACTTTGATCATAAAAATGACAATGAAATATTGCCGTCTGATTTTAGATTAATATTATTCAAAAAGTGCCAAACAAGACCAAGATCTAAAAAAAAACAAAAAACTGTTCATCTCCTGATCCGACACTAACTTTTAAGGTGAATAAAATTCAATTCTGTATAGGGCATTTTATCTTTATGTTTTATCTACTGACCAAATTTTGCACTTTCAAAATCCATGAACCCCAAATAGTGTGGGGCCCGTGAAGATTCTGGGGTAGAATAGGTCTTCAGCAACCCATGCTTGCCGTAAAAGGTGACTAACGGGATCGGGTGGTCAGGCTCGCTGACTTGGTTGATGCATGTCATCGATCCCAATTGCGTGGATCGATGCTCATGATATTAATCGAATACTACTGTAGCTAAACTTTCTGGGCCATAAGATGGAATTCTATTATCAGTAACATTTACACAACTACACCAAATTCTTCAACAAATTCAAGACATAACATTTATTTTTGTCATAAAAACAATCCAAATTCTTTTTGCCTGGAGTTCAATCTCTGCAGCAACTATGCATAGCTGTATCAATACACATCTAGTTCTATTACATGCAAGCAAATATGAAAACTATGGAAACAGTCAGCGCTGTTCACAATTTTTAACCATACAAAAAGAAACATTCATGATTAGGGATGGGTATTGGAGGCTTAAAGTGTATCACAATATTTCGCAATGCACAAAGCCATATTGCGATACGTATCATGATATAGTGTATAATTCTAAATTTTTAATTCAGAAGCAATTCATAAATGAAACAAACAAGATGCTAGTACAACATAATGTTTACTCATTCAATAAAAACACAGCCATCTTGGGGCCCCGAATGCTCGCTCCTGGACAGTGAAGGCATTTGGCAAGTATATAACATTAAGCACATAAAAATCCCAATTTGAAATCACTCGATATCATGAGTACGAAAAAGTGATATTGTGATATGTATCATGGAAAGAATGAACCTCAATTTACCAATGTACCGGTAATATCTCACAAATTTATTTATGATTGTAAATGACAAACATCTGAAATAAAGTATCATGATGACAACGAACTTTTTATCTTTTGTTTCTTAATAATACATCTAGAAAAAGAATGTCTTTATTGAGCATTTGATTCCCAGAACATGCAGAACATTCGCACACTCAATCCCAGGCACTAAATGCACAATAACACCTGCACAAAAAAACAAAAAACATAATGTTTATCAATATTGTGAATAGAGAAGTAATAGGTAATAGTCTCCAGCACAGCTGTGTAACATGATCACAACAGCTGTGACACGGACATGCACATAGCTGTTTCATCAAAATATGAAAGAACATGTCGCCACGACAACTGGACCATCAGTGTAATAGAATGCAGAGAAAAATATTAACACTGGATATCTGCCAAATATTTATAAAATAAAATTATACAATACCCACAAACGTTGTTTTTCAAATTTTGAACATGAACGTAATCATACAAGGTGAATAGCTGTCCTTCACAACAACTATGGGATTTATGTGTTTTAAATTATTTTTAACTACAGCCCAAGCAAGTCTAGGTCAAACTAAACCAGATTCAAGAGCTGAGGAGGAAAGGTTCTATCGCAAAAGATAAATTTAGTATAATACTTAAAAGTCATAAAACAGCCCTTTTGACACTAAATGGCCTTACCACTGTTTTGCCCACAGATACAAACATTGAAAGGAACAAATCATAATTCTCAATCTTATCATTGTTAATGAACACACATGAAAACATTCGGATATTTAGTTCATGAAAAGGGCCCTGGTCCTTTGTCATCTGTAACCTTTACAAGTTACACACGTTCTGCACACAACATTTGTATTGAATGAAACAAGGAAGTGAGTAAGTGACCTTGGGTTAACACTACTTTGAAAACAATTCTACTTTCTGTTATTTTTTGTCAGTTTAATCAGGATAATATGGAAGGAAACCTTGTAGGGATGAAAGCCACACCCATTACATAATGTGTATGGCGGTGACAAACAGAGAATCACATGATGAAGCAAGACAAAAAGTGAGCAGGGCCCACTAATACCCCTGGCAGTGACTCCAACATTTTTTAGTTCAAAACATGAAGAAAAACAATATTTTCTTATCAACTTATAAATTTGAAAAAAGAATCCATGTTATAATTTTTAAGTTAATAGGTCACATAAATGTTTAAGTAAATTAATTCTAAGTATTTACTTTCAGAAAATACAAGTATTGAAATTAAACTTTGCACTGCACCCCCAAATATAGGTATAAAAAGAATCCATGTAGTAGTTTTCAAGTTATATAGATCACACAAAAAAGGACAGAATTCCTTGGTATAACAGGGCTCGAAGTTCACTTTTTGACTTACTTGTTGATAGCTAAGTAAATATTTTTAATCAGGAGCCAAAATGTATCGCAAGTGGCCAAGCAACTTTACCTATTAGTATTACAATCGTGATAAATAAAAGATAATGCTTATTTGAAGTTGTTTGTAATTTATTATAATTGATTACAGTAAAAGACATCAAATTTGAACACAATGTTGCAATTGTAACAGTGTTAAATTTTGAGCATTTATATATTAGCTGGCTCTCAAATAGATCTTTATTTTGAGAATTGTCAAATATGAAAAGATGACATGATCATGGATAATCACTTTAAAAAGATACTTTACTTCGATCATAAATTTGTACACAATGGTGTATGCCTGATGAGTAGATATGAATAAATCAATTTCAACCTGAGTTTAACCTGAAACAAAGTCTTGAAAAATTGAAAAAATCAAAATGCCAGTGGAACTGACTTTATTTAACTTGTCACTGATACATGTCATTTGAAAGTTCTCAGAGACTCTTTCTTGTGTGATAAATGTAGGCTCAAGCCAACATTATCAAGGAAAATATCTGCTTGTAAAACATCTTACTACTACATGTTATACACCATTTAAAAGGTCTTATCCTACTGTTCAAACATATGGAAGCTATGTATATTACATAACTTAAATAATGCATTTAATTAAGTTCATTGAAATAAAAAATAATAATGTAAGCTTACACATTCATAACGTCCAGATTATGGACCAAGGAAGTGAAAATTGTGAAAAGTGACGATTTGCAGCAAATATAAGATTTCATAAAATACACTTACCTATTTCTTTTTTATTTTCATTGTTAACATATCGTTAAAATATTTTAAAAAGAATAAAAAATAGCATATACCTTATCCTTTTCCCGATAACAGCAGCTGTCTGCTAAGTAACATGAAGAAATACCTCCGTTTTTGAAGCTTCGTATGAATAACTCGTACGTCGAAGACTGCCATGTGACATACCATTAGAAAGCTTATCTTTTTATCTACATGACAGTAACCTCGCCCGGAGTATTTTCGTTGCTATAACATACAAATATATATTGGATAAGAATTGGTTTCTAATGACGCTTTCTTGCCGAAATCTGCTACAAGGTTTGTGTTTGGTCAAATTTGAGTATGTGACCTAAGGCAGCCAATCAAAAATCAGCAATGGTACTGTCCTTGTGTATGATGAATTTCAGATCTTGACGAAATGTTTTTGTTAAATCGTGTTATTCTGAACGTTTTAAGCAGGAAATCGTGATCCATATTAAAAATATGGAACTTCATGGATGTATTGTGCTAGGTTACAAGCTGTGACAAAGAATATTTTCATGCATATATTTTGGCATTAAACATCATGTCCAAAACGAGAATTCGAGGCGATGAAAGCTGAGATGTCATTTGACTTACATTACACGCGATCACATGAAAAGATGAATACAATAACTTAGATTCAAGTTTGACAACTTTTAGATATCTTTTTGTTGGTTTTATTTAGTACTCTGTATAGTATAACTAAAGATTTGCTTGAAACATATTTATTTTGCCCTTTGACATGGCCGATGTGGACCGGCTGTCAAACTTGAAGAGTGTGTAACATTGTGTGAAATGGCGAATATTTTTTTAATTAGTGATAGAAAAGGATAAATTGAAATGGAATACGTATTTCATACATTGTGAAATGCTAGAGATTTAATAAATGAATGATATGACAGGTAGGTCCATAGAATTATATATTATTTTGATGTGATTGCGGCTTGGCTTGAGGCTTCTTGGCCTGTGTTGCCTACGGTGTTGAAAGATTTTTCCTTATGTTTTAAAATATTTTGTTGCATTTCTCAAAGTTCACTCGCAAATGCGACCAAATCATGCGCAACTTCGAGCCCTGTATAACTAAATGCCCCAGTCCTTTTAGGTCAGTGGCATAACATAAATCTAACCATACTCACATCAGCACTGAGGTAGCGCAGGAAGAAGTCGAGGAGAAAAGATTTTCCCTTGCGAAAAGCGCCTGCAACTGACACGACAACCGCCTTCTTGTCTCGAATGGAAGGATTCAGGAGGATACTCTCAAGCTTCTCTTCATCAAGCTCGAACGTGTGGTCGTCCGAGGCAACAACAATCTGCACAGGGTGGCCCTTCAGAGGAGCCCCATTTGCTGAAACTGAAACAGTGCAGAACAGTCTCAGCACACAAGACTTCCATATGGTTTACTTCAACATACCTTTCCTATTGTCCTTCAAGGTGCTTAGCCAAGTAGACCTGTTTGCATTCACTTTCAGAAACAGAAGCAGCCTTGTCACTGCCATTTCACCAAAGCTTAAGTCTTTATGTACCACCATGCACTTCCAGTCAAAAAACATAACTTCCAGACTTAATGACGGTAACTTCATAAGTCAAGGATTGTAAGGCTAAAGTGCAACAGTAACTGGCAATAAATGATAAGACATTTTTTCACAATATCCTCAAAGATGACCTTGACCTTTGATAGACCGCACCAAAGATAGATGTGGTAGGATTTGTAAAAATACTTCCAAACCATAAACTTCCAGGCCTGTACATAACCATGCCTCAGAACCTGACAATGAGCGACGCCATGTAAAAAAACCTTAAAGCCAGTGGTAGAAATTAACACTAGCCCGCTAGCCAATGGCTACTTCAAAGTCCTGCTGGTGAGTACAAATTTGTCCGTTGTTATAACATTACAAGGGCATTTTATCTTCACCAGGGCTAGTAAAGCTTTAAAGTTTAGTATCCAGTTATTTTCTTTCTAGAAGTTGTATATGATGTGCCCATGATTTGAAAACTTATTTTCTGAATACCTTTAGATGTAAAATTTAAAATGTCACCCAGAGCAAATCATATGTCCTCATTTACATTCTATTTGCATCCAAAACATTTACATAAATAGAGGTTATCATCACACGAGTGTGTTTGGGGGTGGTAAATATCCTGTATTAGAAAAAACCCATTGTATTTGGCGAGCCTTGGCGAGCCAAATACATAGTGTTTATTCCTAATAAGGATATTTACCATCCCAAACACACAAACTTGATAACCTCTTTATCATATAATGTCATTCTTCAATTCTGTGGTCGAAAAATTTCTTCCCACATTTCTTCTCTCACTAACATTACCTAAACATTGCAGTTTTTCTGGAATGTGTGCATTTATATATATATATATACATGCCCTTTGTCAAAGGGAAGCTACTCTAACCCTAGTCTATGAGACGTCACATTTGTTGAGTCTGCCTGTCCTGTCACAACATTACGAAGTGCCGCTACGTCATAGTTAGACACTGATTTTCGATATATTAGAATATCCTATGATATTGATAGCAATTATCCCAGTAGTTTCTCCAGATTCCCAATGGTTAATTTTGCTGACAAGGGCAACGCCATGTTTGTTTGTAAACACTGAATGAAGTCCCTACTTGACCTTTGATATTTGCATCTCTACCCGCATATGACCCCAACGGACATCGTTATCATCCGTTAGCTTCATCCTGCCGAAAAACGTACCAATTATATATATTTATAACACAAGAAGCATCATTAATCACCTTGGCTCGGCTGCCTCTCTTTCATCAATAATGCTGCATTAATGCATGTCCCATCAAGGACATTGAGTTGCTAATGCATAAAATAGCAACACATATAATTTCCACACTTTGTTACCTGTGAACAATACCCGTCGCCTCCGCAGTGAGTTTCCACCTGCAGAAAGGCAGGTATGCAGATATTGTATTGATTTTAGTATGTCACCCTGAAAGTGTTGTTTATGCAGCTGCATTCAATACCACCTCCAGCAACCCATAACATGACTTTCCAATCTCTTATGCAATTATGCATGTACAATCTTCAACACAATTGAAATCAATACCTTTCTCTGACAGCCTTATGCACTTCAGAGTTCAGACATTTCTATATGTTCACAGCATGATGTTTATATTATTACTATTTTATTGTTTTTTGTAGTTGGTCCAAAAACAAATTTGGCATATCAAAAAACCTTTGTACTTCTAGATTAGTACTGGTATTGATAAATCAATGAAATCTGATATTTTTTTAAATTCACCTAACTGTAAAACAAAGTTGCACCGTCCTACCCATCCCCCACTCCCAAACATCTGTCATTTAGTCTGAAGCAAAAAGTCAGTAAATATTCCCACATTGGAATTAAAAATGTCCCAGGTCATGTCATACAGTTACATGATTTATCTTATGCTTTGTTGAAGTGACTTTCGCTGACCCAAACTAAGATTTGTTTGTTTGTTTGTCTGGTGTTTAACATCGCACTCAGCAATATTCCAGCTATATGACGGTGGTTGTAAATAATCTTGTCTGGACCAGACAATCCACTGATTTACATCATGAGCATCTATCAGAGCAATTGGGATATGATGACATGCATCAACCAAGTCAGTGAGCCTGACCTCCCGATCCTGTCCGATCAGTCGCCTTTTAGGGAAAGCATGGGTTGCTGAAGACCTATTCTACCCCGGATCTTCACGGCCCGGCAAGCATGGGTTGCTGAAGACCTATTCTACCCCGGATCTTCAAGGCCCGGCAAGCATTGGGATCTTCACTGGTCGACCAAAACTAAGAGGAAGAGGTTTCAATACTTAATTTTACATTATTGTGTTTAGGTTAGATTGCTATGTTAAAATACATCTGATCTTAAGAAAATAACTTCGATAACATTGAGCAAACTTTTCTCCCAAATTGCCTGCCACGTCCACTTTGTTTGGAATCCCAGATAAATGCCTGGACTTGTGATCCAAACTAACAAATACCCAATTTAACAAATCAAGGTAATGAGTCACAGAGCTCCAGATAAGCTGCGTATCTGCGTGAAATACGCATCAGAAATGCAGAAATACGCAGTAAAATATAATCCAAGCGCATCAAATACGCAACGAACATTACAGATACGCTACAAAAATAAAACTTGTGCGTATCATCAAAATATTGTGAAGTAACCCTGCGTATTCGATTAGCAAATGAGCAACTTATTTTGAAATTATAAGTTGGCATTCCGTCAACCTTGCCAAACTCCACGATGACAGTCAGATCATGATCATTTGCCATCACACTTTCTTGTGGAAGTATCGTGGTATTTTTGAGTCCTATAAAGCTCTCGAACCCACACGACACCAGTTTGCAGGGACTAGATGAATAGTGTTTTGAAATATTTAACTTAAATACCCACATGTGTAAAAACTAGTGGGTAACAGAAATTCGAATACGCAGATAGAATTACTGATACCCAATGATTTTAAAATGCATGGGTAAAATACCCACAACACCAAAAGCTTATCTGGAGCTCTGGAGTCATGTCACTTTATATACATAAGCAGCATAATAAGCACCCACTGCAGTGTTGTCCTGAAGGTTTGTTTGTTGTATAACACTGTACTCAGCAATATTCCTGTCATAGGATTCCAGGCTAAAAATATTCAAGTTTGAACCAGACAATCCAGTAATTGTTATTGTGAGCTCCGAGCGGTCAGAGTACACGCTGACACAAAATCAACCAATTCACAGAGCCTGACCACCTGATTAGTATGGACTAGTATAAACTGATTTTAATATAATATGGGTCTCCATGCTTCGTAGTTCTGGCCCATCATATTCACAGGTAAATGGGTCACTTGCTCCATCGGTGTGAATCTTTGTATGTAGATGCATTCTTGGCTGGCTGATAATCATCTCCCATCAACAGAATTGTGATCAAGGGCTTAGTTACTTCCCACACGATTCACAATCACATCATCTGAATCATCACATAGATCTTAAAATAAAACCACCTTGTCAAGTATATCTGACTTTGCTCAAGAGAAAGCATCTTCCACGAGAGCAAGGCATGCTTTCATTATCCTGCCAAGATAAACAATTCCAGGAATTATGTGATGTGTGGGGAAAGAATCAACCTTTACATAATCAACAATATGGATCCCTGTCGAAAACACAGAATTCTGGACAGAGATTGTCTATTTACTTCTTGAACCTAAAGAAGCCAGGGTTTAATGTCAACATGCTCAGAGGCCGATATTTAGGCCAAAGTCTGCAGCAAATATCAGTAATAAATCCCAAATTTGAAATAAAAAATTCCCAATTCATGTTATCATAGTTATAACTGTATTTCACTAAGAGCAGCCTCCATAGGTAATAGCCTTTGATACTCAGTCCTGCCTTCAGAACTCACTACAGAACCAATGTACATGAACGTTTGAAGGGGAAAGAGAAAGGGAAAATGGGAAATAAACAACTAGGTGTAGGATTATGTAAACATGTGAGGGTGTCTGCACTTGCCCATGGGGAAGGTGAAAAACTCCCCATCTAGTTGCTAAGCAACATGACCTTCAATACAATGTGTACATTACAAGGGTTAAAAACTGGATCTAGCTAGTCCTTCCTAACCAATTTCAATATATGGGATGAGTAGAAATTACTCAAACTCTAAATCGCTGTTAATACATTTTCTAAATCTATTTCTGTAAGAATGGCAAGGAGTGATTGGTGTTGGGATTTGGTTGTAAAATCATGATTGATCATTAGATCATCACAAACCATAAATCATCGAAATTATTCAGCAAAACTAAATCACACCTAAGATAAACAAATACCTACTTCATCCCCTTTTGTATAATGGAGTCTGACCTCACTCTTTTCTCCAAGTAATAAGCAGCGAATTAAACACAACTATCTCAAGATTTGAGAGGGGGGAAATTGTTTGTGTTCTGTTTGTGTTCTATTATGTAAAATTGTGTTCGATTACTTGGTCGGTTTGACTTTCCAACAATCTTCAATTATTTCAATCAGTTGGAACACTACGAGTGAGTGAGTGAGTTGGGTTTAACGCCGCTTTTAACAGTATTCCAGTTATATCACGGCGTGTCAGCTTAATGTGGGAGGAAAGCCCGAAGTGATGCAGGTCTCAGACGTTTACCACTTCGGTGAAACCCACGAGCACGGGTATGGTGCTGACAAACCTAGAAACATAATTGGGGCGAACCGGGATTCGAACCCACAATCATAGGTTTCTGGCGTGCCCAAGGGACGCAACTCTGCACAGCGAATCGCGGCGCCTTAGACGACTGGGCCACCCGTGCCCCTGGAACACTACGAGGAATGAGTGGATCTATGAAGAGTGAGTGAG